ACCGAAATAATGCATGCATGCACAGTTTCGGTTGAAAACCGAAATAATGCATATGAAAAACCCGAAGTAATGCATACATGCACAGTTTCGGTTGAAAGCCGAAATAATGCATATGAAAAAAAACGAAGTAGTGCATACATGCACAGTTTCGGTTTAAAACCGAAGTAATGCATATGGCAAAAACCGAAATAAAGCATACATGCACAGTTTCGGTTGAAACCGAAATAATGTCTAAATGCACAGTTTCCATATGCGCAATTTCGGTGCCCCACTTTCTTAGTGTGGCTCTGAGTAATGCTCGTACCGAGTTTGGTGGGGATTGGTAAAGGGACTACAGAGATACAGCATTTTATCGTAAGTGGGAAGTGCCACGCCCATTTTCAAAAAATTTCATAACTGTTTTCTTTCATGCCAAAGTTCTACTTCGCGTACCAACTTTCAATAATTTGGATCCAGTATTTACGGAAATATCTTAGTTTTCGCATATTTCGAAAATACCGTTATATGGGAGGTGGGCGTGGTTATTGTCCGATGAATGGGCGTAGCCAGAACGAAATTAAGGGGGGGCGCCATACAAAAAAAAATTCAAAACCAATAACTTACTTATTAAAAAATTGTTTATTATAGCTTAAAATTATTGTAACCAATACAGGTGAATATGTTGTAACTAACTGTTGTAACTGTATAAAACTATTCGTCGATTTAAATTGTTAACTTTTTACTGAGCATGTATATTTTACGAGGAGGAAGCATCGAAAGCCTAACCCCGTCAGTGTGAGACTTTAACCCAAACTAAACTTCCTATCGTCATGTATCGTTTCCCTCTCGGTACCACCGTCAAGGATTTCGTGGGGATTATAACACTGTGTGACTGATAAGGTTACAGATCTATTCACTTCTTCTTCTCCTTATTTGGTGCTGTAACCGCCAAAGCGATTTTAGCCAACTGACGCCAATTGGAAATGCCAAGTGAAGCCAGAATACTTTCAGAGCTGGGGCGTCGGTGTCCATTAGAACGACATGGTCAAGCCAGTTGAACCGCGGTATTTTAATTCGCCATATACCAGCACGGGCATGATGAGTGACTTATAGTGTGGTTTTCGTACGTACAGAGAGGACTTTACTCCTGAGTTGCCTACTCAGTCCAAAGCAGTACTTGTTGGCAAGAGCGATTCTGCGTTGGATTTCCATGCTGACATTATTATCGGTGTTAATGCTGGTTCCCAAGTAAACGAAATTCTCTACTTTCTCGAAATTATAACTGTCAAAATTGACGTCGGTGCCAAGGCGTGAATGTGCTGATTGTTTGTTTGATGACAGGGATACTTCGTCTTGTCCTCGTTTACCACCAGACCCATTCGCTTTGCTTCCTTGTCCAACTTGGAATAGCCAGGACAGGCTTCGCGGTTTTTCTTACCGATGATATCAGTGTCATCGGCATAAGCCAGCAATTGTACGCTCTTGTAGTAAACTGTTCCTGAGCGGTTCAGTTCTGCAGATCTTATTATCTTCTCCAACATCAGATTAAAGAAGTCACATGAAAGAGAGTCGCCCTGTTTGAAACCACGTCTGGTGGGGACGGCAACAGAGCAGAGCTGGTGGTATTGCTCAAGGTCATTCTTCACAGCCGTATGAGTTTTGAGGGGATATAGGAAACTCCTTTTAGTGCTGTCGAAAGCAGCTTTAAAGTCGCCATATAGGTGGTGAGTGCCGATCCTTTTCTTGCGGGTCTTTTCCAGGATTTGGCGTAGTTGTACCTGGTCTATGGTAGACAATACATTCCATAAGGCCTTGCAACCTATGCTTAGAAGGCTGATCCCGCGGTAGTTGGCACGCATGGCGGGGTCCCTTTCTTATGGATTGGACAGAGCGCATTTGAATTCCAGTCGTCCGGCATGCACCTTATTACCTCCTTGCCATCGTAATTAAATAGCTCAGCTGACAGGCCGTCAGCTCAAGCAGCTTTGGCACTTTTCGTCATAGTCAGGCGCTGGGATATCGACTCCATCGTCATCGACTGGACCTCGGGTTCGTCTTCTCCACTTCTTTCAGTGCTTCTGCCATTCAAAAGGGTCGAAAAGTGTTCCCTCCATAATCTGCGTACGTTCTGGAATCGGTCACTAGGTCGCCATGGTTGTTCCTACAAGAGTCCTAAAACCTTCCGTAATTCGCTCAACTCTCTACTAAAAATTTCAGGTGTTTTTTCGGCCAGCATTTCAAGCATTTTCTCACACTCCTCAGTACCAGTAATGAGCGGGAAATGTGGTTCCACTGATCGCGCAAGTCGGTTTGTTGAAGAGTGCTTTCTCACAGCAGTTGTGAGGGTCGAGCGCCGAATTCATTGGCCGTCTGTTTTGATTGCAGCTTTTCGACGTTGAACTTTCCTTGCATTGTTGGGGGCCCTTTTTTTGCTGCTCCGAGGTTGGGTCGTATATTGGATGCATCAATATAGTAGTGCGAGTCGATGTTTCATCTGTTACATTTAAAACATGGAAGAATGCCTTCCTCTATCACAACATGCTCGATTTGGCTTCCGGTTTTTCGATGTGGAGATATCCATGTAGCTTGATGGGTATTTTTATGCTAGAGCCCAGTAATACATACTGCCAAGTTTCGGGCCCCGGCGAAGTCGATCACCCTCAGCTAATATGTACGCTCTAAGATAAGAGAGCCTTGGAAGCCTCGTCCTTCTCTTCCATCGGGGCATTGGCACATGTGAATGAGATGTTGAAGAATCTCGTTTTGATGCGGATTGTGGCTAGACTTTCGTCCACTAGAGTGAACGCCGGTCTCTCTCCCTCCACAAATCCAACACTGAATTGTACTCCTTTACGTGGCAACTGTAGTAGACGTCGCAAGGCTCCACGCTTACCTTCCTCGCCCCATCCATCGCATTTCGTGGATGGCGGTGATGTCATCCTTTATTTTTCCCTAGGACATCAACCAGCCGGGCAGAGGCAAAATCCCGATTAAGGGTTCGGATATTCCAAGTGCATACCCTAAAATCATATTCCTTCCTATTTTTGCCGTGATCGTCATCAAAAGAAGGGGGTATTATCCGAGGCATGTTTTTTTTTTCATTGGGCAAGGTTTTAACGTGGCGGGACCCAAACCCAGCGCACGCGGGCCACTCCCAGTTGAATGGCAGTCCAAAGCTTTGCAGTACTGGGGAATGTACAAAACACAGTGGTCAAAAGCGAATATCTCAACTAAACCCTGATGTATTTTTTAAATAGCCGGACCAGACGTTATTCAAAATAAAAAATGAAAAAAATAAACTTTTTTCCGCATACTCTGTAATATTCGTCCGCAATTTTGTAAGGTAAACTAACAATTTATAATCATTGCTTTGCAGCGAAATATCTTAAATTATACACATAGGTATGTATAAATATGAGGACGTATTGAACATTTTGAGTATGCAGATTTTGTATTCTGGTATATTCATTTATGCAAAATATATTACTTGATTTTGTTTTGTCACACTTAAGAAGTAAACGTCTTGGCTGTTCACCCAACCGGCCTATATCTTTATCCATAATCTCAGATTGTACGCTTAGAAATGACACAAACATAAAGACAAAGTAATAACCAATTGAACTATAAATTTTTGCTCATTGTCGACTGCAGCCAGGCTTTTAACCTTTTTAAATGGAAGTGCTTTGAACATAGAGAGAATAACTTGATACGGAACCGGATGATCCACATATCCACTTTTCTAATCAATTTACTAATTATTTGGTTAGCGTTGGGAGTATAATTTGTTATACAGTATATATATAGGAAAAACCTTAAAGTTAGGGGGGGACCGAAATTATTAAGCAAGCATTTCGTGGTAATATATTTCAATATCTAGGCAAAAATTTAGAAATTAGGGGGGGAGGGGGGGGGCCCCGGTCCGGCCCTACCTGGCTACGCCCATGGCCCGATGTCGCCCCTTTTCAATCCCAACCTACCTTGGAATAAAATTATAGTTTAAAAAACTAAACCCTCCCTATTATACTTGACATTCGTACTGGTCATCAGGTATGTAACTTGAGAACGAGAAATCGCTGCATCTTTTAAGCGCATCAATATTACATAGTTACATCCAGAGCTAATAAAAGGAAGGTAAAAAGGGAAACTTACTTACCAAATTTCGTGTACATATCTCAATATTTACTCGAGTCATCGTGTACCCGGACAGACAGACGAACGGACGGACAGACATGGCTTAATCGATTTCTCTTTTCATGCTGAGCATTTATGTATACATTTGTCTATATCTATCTTGATTCTTTTTGGCTGTTACAACCGCTATGCGAACAAAGTTATAATACCCTTGTGCACAAGCGCGCTCGGGTATAAAATATTCCGATGAATAGATAGCCTTCCTCCCCGTTTAATTCGGTTAAAAATACCTGATGTTCGATTAGTTTCACGAGCTTAGATTAGTTGTGACTTACCTTTTCAAGCGTAATGAGCAAAGTTTTGTTGTCTTGTAAAACCCAGACTGAATCTTCTTGTTTGATTTCAGCGCTGAGCACTCCGTTTATTATAGGTTCCTCGTTTTTTAAGCCCACGAAGAGTGACATTTTTCCTATAGTAACGGAAATATCTTTAGCTCTCAAATTAGATGAAACTCTTAGAGGGATCTTAACCTGTAAGATAAAAAATATTGAGATAATGAATTAACTACAAATGCTTGAAGTGTTTTAAAATGCTAATAATAATAATATATTAGCGCTTAGCTTAAGCAATATATTATTATTTGGCCTTCGATTTGTGGCGTGCGCCTCTCACACAAAGGGGAGGGATCCACAATTTTACGCCGACGAAAGTTTTCTTCATGACAGAAATACACTCGGAAGTTTGCCATTGCCTGCCAAGGGGCGAAATAGAATAAACTTGTTTGTTTTTTGATTTTTTGATATTGGTCGGAAACTGTGCTTGAACTCAGGCCCTGCGTAATGGTAGAGCGCACTGATAACCACTACACCACAGTAATTTCTTTATTGACCAAGATTCATGTGGATTAGGGAATAACAAATTGTTATTGCAATCCAGCAGTTCTACCTAAATAATAGATAGAGACTACATTATTGTAAAACCCGTAAAACCTCCAAAATTTTTGATACGATTCGGCTCTCGAAAAACGACTTGCATTCGACACGATTCTCGCAATGAGGGTGTATAGCTTCATCAATTTCGCAATCTCAATACGGGTTTTCTAAAGGAAAATCTTTTATCATTAATTTATTGGAGCTTACAACTCATCTCTCAAACGGTTTTACACGCCGTTTACATGAGACAATTTTGCGAAGGCAATAGCAATAATTCACACTTTATCACTAATACATTCACACCTCTTTCATTGTTGTTGGGTGAGCGCTACAAAAACCCCGCCCAGATCGGCTGATATCTCAGTCGTTGTCGTCGAGTGCCACTAACGGCAGCCCCAAGAAGCGTGCAGCCTCTATGGGGTCAGTCCATAGGGACGACGCCGTTAGGGTTGTGAGGTTTTCCGGGCATTCGAAGAGATGTTTCGAGTCGTGAGGGGTCTCTCCACATGCCGGACATTCGTTCGGCACATCCGCATTTAACCTACACAGGTACGAATTTAGCCTGCTGCAGTAGCCAGAGCGAAGTTGGGCTATTGTCGTTCTGGTCTCCCGAGGCAGATGGAGCTCCGTCATGTCAATGCCGGTGTTTGTGTGCCTAGAACGGCATTCACAGGTCTTGAGTCTACATAACTCGAGACTGCGTCCCTGTGAGTGCCGTTCAGGGCTTGCCTATGAGCTGTCGGGTCCAGAGGTTGCTTAATGAACCTCCGTCAGTTCAAATAGATGCCTCCTGATGTGCCTCGGCGAGGGCTCCTCTGCAAGCAGCTGTCTATTTTGGTGGCCACTTCTGTGGCTCCCAACATGAAACTGCTTGCAGAGCATCGTGTTGTGCTCCCTAATTGGGAGCATTTTTGCCTCATCGTGGAGGTGGTGTTCTGGTGTCATCAGGAGGCATCCTGTCGTTGTCCTGAGTGCTGTATTTTGTACCGTCTGTGGCTTCGTCCACTGCGTCCTACTAGTCCCCGGCGACCACACTGGTGCTGCGTAGTTTACAACCGGCCGGCCTATAGCCTTGTATGTTGCCAGCAACGTTTTTTTGTCTTTGCCCCAAGTACTGCCGGCTAGCGACTTGAGGACCTTGTTGCGGCTCTGTACTTTATTGACAATAGCGGTTGTGTGCGCAGAGAAGGATAGCAGGATGTCGAATGTATTTTAGGATTATTCACCGTCGGAATTGGTGTGTCATCGACGTGAATTCCTAGCGGTAGCCTGACCTCCTTCGTCCAGGTTGTGAACAGGGTCGCAGAGGATTTCGTAGGGGAGAGGGCTAGACACTTTGCAGTGAAGAAGCGAGAAAGGTCATTGAGATATCCGTTTACTTTCGAACACAAGTCATCAATTCCATTCCCAGTCGCCATGATCGAGCAATCGTCGGCGTAAGAGACAATCGAGACTCCCTCTGGTGGTTGAGGGAGCTTTGAAATGTAACAGTTAAACAGTAGTGGGGAAAGGACAACCCCTGTGGAACCCCCTGTTTTATTTTTCTACGTTTGCTCGATTTGTCTCTAAACATTACCGACGAGTGTCGACCACTCAGATAATTTGCCGACCACCGTTTGAGCCTCTGTGGGAGAGAGGAAGCCTCTATATCTTCTAGTAGCGTGGAATGGATGACAGTGTCAAAAGCCTTTGACAGGTCCAACGCTACTAGAATCGTTCTCTCACAGAGACGTTTACAGTTAAGGCCACGAGTTATCTGAGTGTTTATGGCGTTAAGTGCTGTTGTTGTACTGTGCACTTTACGGAAGCCATGCAGATGCTTCGCTGGGGTCTGGTGGTTTGTAAAATACGGGAGTAGCAAGGCCTCTAGTGTATTCACTACCAGAGAAAGGAGGTTATCGGACGATAAGACTCTCCTTTATTGGCTGGTTTCCCGGTTTGAGCAGTGGGACCACTCTCCCCATCTTCCAGATGTCTGGAATGACGACAGTGGCCATTGACAAGTTGAGGACCTCCGTTAGGTACGCTACTCCCGTAGGACCCAAATTTTTCAGCATCAGCATGCATACTCCGTCGGGTCCAATGGCTTTGGAGGCTTTCGCCTTTCCGATGGCTACCCTCACTTCACACTGCAGTTGTGCAGTCTTCTGGTCACTCGACGTTTGGCTTTATCCACCGGAGGATGCAAGATTAACTTCCGGCTAAAATAGCTCGCGCATCGCTCCGGGCCCGACCCCGACGAAGCATGGTCACCAAAGTCCATTTCAACTCTGTCGTCTCGCTTCGTCGGGTTGGACAATGTCCTCACGGTTGACCAAAGCTTACTCACACAAGAGGCGAAGTTGCAGGTCCTCAGATGCTCTTCCCATTCCTTCCCCTTATGTACGTTCACAAGTTGCGGAATTTCCGAGTTGAGATCCCTAATACGGGGATTTCCGGGATCGGCCTGACGAATGTTGTCGCGCTCATCGGCTGGCGCGCTGCAGCAGCTCCCCGTAATCCTGGTGGATGCGTCGTAGTTCATTGTGCAGAATGTCGAATCGTCTATCTGCTCAGCCAATTGTGTTCCCCTAAGATCGGTTGACAGGCTTGAATGCCAAAGATCGTGGTGCACATTGAAGTCAGCAACTACCATACCTCTGAGGAGCGCACCTATTTCAGGGTGATATCCTGCCGAGCAGCTGGACATCGCCTGACTGGATAGCAATTCCCCGACATTCTAGGATGGTATCACTGCGGTCGATGTCTGCTTCGATAAGACGATACTGCACGGTGTGGTGTGTGATGAACGGTAGTCCACCACCATTATCTCGCTCGCGATCTCGACGGTGCACATTGTATCCGGCGCAATTCAACAGTGTTGAATTGCCGTGCAGCTTCCGTCTCTTTGACCGCAGCTATTAATATTCCGTGACGACCCATGAGGACTGTTATCTCCTCGATCTTGCTCTGAAGTCCGTTACAGTTGAATTGCAAAATCTTCGACTTATTGGAATGTGGGGTGTTAGTGATGCACGTTGCCGAGCCGCCAAATGCTGTGCTTGCTGCTGCTGAGGCGGTTGCCCTGTGGTGTTAGTGGGCAGCGTCGCAGTTGGGGATTGCGAACGAGCAGCACAGCATGGGCTCTCATAGTCCCCCGTCAAATCTCGCGTGGTGCGCAGTCTTGAGCATACCATAAAGTGACACCAGCCAAGGCAGGTGTTGCACTTGATTGATGTCACATTACGGAATATCCTGGACTGACACAGCGTGCAGATTTCCGGAAGAACTAGGAGTTGTTGGCGGTGGCGTGCAGTTATATCTGTGGTGTGGTCTGATGTGTCTGTGGTATTATCTATTTTATTGTGTTGTGGTACGGTTGTGTTTGTGTTGAGTTGCTCAGGCGGACTCTGTTGTGCATCTGATGGAGGGGGACCTGTGGTGTAATCGTCTCTGGCACACGTAGCAGGTGTATGTTTCTGCTCCAGGGTTTGACTCAATGCCAGCCCTGAGCAAAGTATTCGAAGAAGATGTAGTAATATGGGCGTCAAACTTTTGAGGGATTTCGCCGACCTAAACGGGGTTGAATCGCCGAAACAACAGCCCATGGTCGGGTAAAACCCGAGTCATTCCGGTACGTAGAACCGGCTGTCGACCTTCGGCTACAGCGGCCAACGACACATTGCGTCTCGGCCATGCTGTTTATAGAACTTTTCTTTGCGTGTGCTATTAAAACCGACTGCCGATCGTGGTTACTCATACCGAATTTTAAGCGATTTTAAACGAACCAGCCCCGATATGTATCTGTTGAATTATTTAACAGCTAAAAAATTATCATTTCACGAAACCCTGGTGACTTTTTGACTTTTTGACGTTTTTTGAGTGACTGAGCCGCCGGAAGTGCCAGTGTGTTAAGGTTGTCATAAAGTTTGACAGTAACTGGACAGAGATTGGATAAGAACTTTTCAGCTACTCTTCCATTTCGGGCCAACATAAGCAGGGATCCGTCATTCAGTTGCTTGATGTTATCGACTTGCGTTGATATGGCGTAAATGCATTTTTTAAAGACAAATAGACTAACTTTTGAGGGACTATAAGCAGAAGAGGAAATTTCGAGGTATTTCCGATGGTTCGGAGGATTTGTTATTGACTTATTTGACAAAATGGAGAAGAATATTCTAGGCAGCCGGTGTGATCACTTACAGCGCTCTTACACAATATGCATATGTATTTGCTACTACAAATTTTACCTTCAGCGCGATATGCAGACTCGAGTTCAGTATATTGAAAATTTAATTTTCAGGAAAAAGTCGATAGACAATATTAACTAATAGCTTTGGATGTTGTGGCAGGGACTATACATATGTATGTATGTATGTATATGTACATATGTGCCATATTTGAACCCATAACATTTTATTTTTGTACCTCAACTTCCTGTAAAGTTTGCGTCCACGAATACTTATCCAGCGTGCAACCGTTTCCAGTGTTTGGCTTAAGCTTGCCAATTTCCATTTTTTCAGAATCGTCATCTATGTCATTGATAGGTTTGGATATGTCCTCTTCGCAAATTTTTTCCTCAGTCCTAAAATATTAAAAACAATTTTGATTAAAATTTTGGCCTAGCAGATTTAAGATAAATCTTCACATCTATAATAATATTGAATGATAGACAGGCCCGTTCACAGAAATTTGCAAGGCGGACGGGGGTATAAAAAAGGATATCTACAATGAAATATTCTAAAAAATCGAATAACCTTAATTTGTTTCTTCAGTTAAAAAACAAATTAATCATAATGAATGAGACTATTAAGTAATCTATGTACACACCCTTGTGGACAGCTGATGTAANTCAGGAAAAAGTCGATAGACAATATTAACTAATAGCTTTGGATGTTGTGGCAGGGACTAACGACACGAAAACGATTTTACGGCGCAGTGAAATACGCCGACCTGTATACATATGTATGTATGTATGTATATGTACATATGTGCCATATTTGAACCCATAACATTTTATTTTTGTACCTCAACTTCCTGTAAAGTTTGCGTCCACGAATACTTATCCAGCGTGCAACCGTTTCCAGTGTTTGGCTTAAGCTTGCCAATTTCCATTTTTTCAGAATCGTCATCTATGTCATTGATAGGTTTGGATATGTCCTCTTCGCAAATGTTTTCCTCAGTCCTAAAATATTAAAAACAATTTTAATTAAAATTTTGGCCTAGCAGATTTAAGATAAATCTTCACATCTATAATAATATTGAATGATAGACAGGCCCGTTCACAGAAATTTGCAAGGCGGACGGGGGTATAAAAAAGGATATCTACAATGAAAAATTCTAAAAAATCGAATAACCTTAATTTGTTTCTTCAGTTAAAAAACAAATTAATCATAATGAATGAGACAATTAAGTAATCTATGTACACACCCTTGTGGACAGCTGATGTACGTTAAGTGGCATTTTGACCAGTTTTGGCTATTTTTTTCTGTCTATTTAATGTTTTTACATTTTTATAAAAGTTTAACACATTACATAACCAGTATCACATAAATCCACATATCAAACTTCGCATAAAATTTATAACAACTTAAATTAAACAAACTTTAACAACTACACCCAAAATTTTTAAATTTTTATTAAAAATGTTGAGAAAAATTTAAGGTATGCAGTTGTATAGCCCATTAAATTTTAGTAGGTTAAAATGAAAATTTCAAGACGCTAGAAAATCGCGTGAAATAATTTTTTGCTGACGGTATTGAGCATTTGGAGCATTATGGAGGAAAATGCCTAGCACATATACGGCCAGAGTCAAAAATTAGCAAACACCTTGTTCTAATATAATATTGACCATGATAAAAACACAGCAAGGTATAACCGTTCTCTCAATTTGTCGGCCATGATTTTTTTTTGAAGTTTGCCAACATTTTAAAATCATATAAAAGTGAAAATAAAAAATTGAAATTGTTCGAAATTGTTGTTGCTTGAGATTGAAAATGAAATTGTGTCTGTGAGTTTGTGAGTAAATTTAAAAATTAAATTGTTTGGAAACGTCAAGAATTTTAAGTGCCTCTCAGCGGTTTTACCTTACTATATTTTTATCATGATATTGACAATGTTTTTCATGAACAATTTTGTCATTATTTTTTTTATGAAAATATAGTTCATTCCATGATACAAAAAAAAGGTAATTTCCACAGTATACAGTAAACCAGCCATTAACAATATGCTTATTTGAAAATTAATACGTGAAATATTGTGAATGTATAGGATTTATTTGTCATTAACCCATAGGCAGCGACTGATGCACAAGTACCCACAAATGTTTGTTGATATATTTGACATGTAAATTTGAACAGCAAAATTTGTAAAAAAAATACTAATAAAACAAAAAGATTTTTTATTACTACATGGGAAGTGGGCGTGGTTATTGGTAGATTTCGCCAAAGTTTAACACTAACCTAACTTATACCAAAGGCAACTTCGACACCGACTTTCGTTAAAATATCTAAATTTTGGTCGAGTTACCGTGTTTACAAACAGAGAGGGCTGAACTAGTTCATCTCGTCATTCTGAATATTTTGGTATATATGTATGCATATATGTATATATGTACATACATTTTATACGGTTAACAAACGCGCTTGCTTATCTGCATAAACCGTCTTTACTTGCATTAATTCATGCATTATCCTCTTTCAAATGTGAATAAGCGGCTGAACAAATACATACAAATTTCGCGCATTTGAAAATTAGAGAGTTCTACCTTAAGCTAAGTAATATTTGTTTTACCGCCTAATCGATGGGACCATTTTAAAAAGTCAGCCCACCATTACTCACTCAAAGTTGTGTTCGGAACACGGTTTGACTTATGTAGGAACTGCATCCGGTTATAATCGCTTACGCTTCACGCTTGATTTGCTTGGAATTTTGTTTTTCTCGTTATTTTATTTTATGTGACTTGAAAATATGTTTCACTATAAGAAAATATTTAAATTGGATTTCGTTTGGGTTAACGAAAACGACAACTGTGAAAAAATATCAACCAATACATTCAAACAAAATGTCAAATAAGCATATTTACATTTTTTTGTTTTGGCTATCTGGATTACTGTATACTGTGGGTAATTTCAATAAACAACTTTTGACGGATAATAAAATTTTCTGAAGTTTCATAAATTGTGAGTATTATCAATGGCCTTGCCACTTTGATAATGTTGAATCAATAAATCGGAGTATTTTCTTTCCAATATTTATACCAATGTAATAACATTTCAAATCAAAAACCATTATTAGTGCTTGGCACTTTTGTTACTTACGTGGTTCGCACCTTTTTTTATTAAAAATATTTAAAATATAAACTGTTAAAGGAGACTTTATCGTAATTGTTCTTTTCATTTTGCAATTAAAACCACGCTCACATTATTCTGTTATTTTTTTTTTGTTTTCTTATTTTGAATGCAATCTTGCGATTTAAAAATCGAATTCTAAAGAATGTTCTTCGCAAATAAAACCTTTTTATATTTTGGTTCAAATTTGCTTTTAAATTTCTCATCAGATTTTGCAAAAAATTAAACTTTGTGATTAGCGCATCATAATTAAATTTCACAAATTTTTAATTTATGCAAAACACCTGAAATCGGCTTGAACAGACCGCCCTCCGATAAACCTCTAAGAGATCGTCGTTTAAAGTACAAAATCGTGTATCAACAAAATGCACAACTGCGTATGTGAGGTTGCATAAATTATTTTCTAGAGAGTAAAAACACTTATATTTCAAAATGGTTCTCTTTTTTACAAAGAAATCGCATTTCAGGACGAATGGATAAGGCTTGAGCCAAGAGCTTGTGTCAGCAAATCCAATTTTTGGCAAAAAATGTCAGTTACGCGGTTTTGCAGAACGACGATACGCGGTTTTGTACTTTAAGCGACGATATGTAAGTATATACTTTCTTCATGCGTTCTGAAACCTTGTCGTCAACCCCATTTTCGAAATCTTGCAACCGGCACAATTTTCTAGTTCATCGTATTCCACACTTTTGTACTGATGTACTGATAAAATCTTCTGCTTAAAAAAAACAATTTCTTCTAGTGATCAGGTAGCATGAATTTGATGAAATGTCATAATTTTGTTAAAAGTCAAATCAACAACAACAACGAACAAGTTAACAACAACAACGAATGCTATTAAATGAAACTACCTTCTTTTTTGTATCATGGTTCATTCTACAACATATTTTTACAAAATTCATGAAAATTCAACCCATTAAAAAAATTATCAAATTTTAAAGTTTTTAATAAGAACTTCTAGAAACTTTTCGAGTAAGCAGTGGCGCATTCAATTCCAATAAAACTTCAAGTGGCTAAAAATGTCCGTTGATTTGTGATAAAATTGTTTTGCTGCCCTCAGAGTATGAGTTTATAGTGAGCACTAAAAATGCAACCATGTAAATTGCAACCAGGTTAATGTAGAAAAAAAACCCTGACGACGCTCCAAATTGAAACGCCCCTACGTATCTATTTAAAACAAGCAGACCCGGCGAACTTCGTCCCGCACAAAATTAATTTTTTTTACTGAAATATTTGGGTCCAACATTTTCACTAACAATTCACGTTCACGATTTCAAGTGATACATTTATCTGCTAATATAACGTNACTAAAAATGCAACCATGTAAATTGCAACCAGGTTAATGTAGAAAAAAAAACCCTGATGACGCTCCAAATTGAAACGCCCGTACGTATCTATTTAAAACAAGCAGACCCGGCGAACTTCGTCCCGCACAAAATTAATTTTTTTTACTGAAATACGGGAGCTTGTGTGTTAAACTACGTGCCAGTCAGTGGCGGACCCACGGGGGCATTTTAACACCCAAAAGTTCGCAGTAGAATAGCATTATTGCGGCTTATTTAAATGCACATNGTGGTTGTCAGAAGGCATATTTCCATTGTCGTCTTTAATAACCTAACGAAAGTGTATATTCGTGAAGAAGTTCTTGAAATTCTCCAACGATCTGGAGTTTAACAGCACGGTTAATCGCAAAACGAAATAAATTTGAAGAACTTTTTCCCATTCACTCCCTGGCAGCAACAATGATCCGGTTCGATGGTGAATCTGTTCTTGAAACTCTATGGTATAGTTGGTGACAATTTAAAAATTGGTGAGTATCGTTGTTCTACAGGAATCCAATATACACAGACTTATTTCAGTCGAAGTACCTTAAAGTTCTTATCAAGTAGCGTAATGGTTCTGATGGTAGATTTAGTGCTGGTCATTTGAGACTGACCCCTGGACAACTCAATCCTGGGGTATCCGAATGAAGCTCGCAAATCACGTTCATTGGGCCAATCGGAATACACGGGAGCTTGTGTGTTAAACTACGTGTCAGTCAGTGGCGGACCCACGGGGGCATTTTAACACCCAAAAGTTCGCAGTAGAATAGCATTATTGCGGCTTATTTAAATACACATTTTTTTGATACAGCCCTATCCAAATTTTTTTCTATATTAAATTTTTTATGCAGTGAAATATAATTATTGCGGCTTTTTAATTTAGTTTCTTTTTTTGATATTACAGATACCTGGCAACAACGGTTCTTAAATTTTTTCTTTACTCACCTTCTACAGGCAGAGGGAAACAAAATTAAATAAAAACGAAGCAGTAATGTACATTATTGCAGCTTATGAAAATTTAATTTTTTTTTTGATATTTGAAATATGTGGCAAAACCGGGTTTCTAATTTTTTCTTTACATTCATTTTACTGACAGGAAGACACATAATGAAATAAAAACGAAGCAAATCCCTTGAGCCGTTCTTGAGTTATGTGATAACACACGGAAGCAATCCATATTTACATATTTTTTTTTTCGAATGATGGCAACCCTACCAATTATTATTTTTTTTGAATAAATTTTTTTTAGTACTTTCTCGGTGAAGTAGCATTATTGAGGTTCATTTATGTTTTTTTATTCTGATATTGCAGATATCTGGCAACATGATTTTTCCAATTTTCTCCTTACAAACCTTCCACAGACAGAAAAACACAAAATCAAATAAAAACTAATCAAATCCGTTGAGCCGTTCTTGGCTGATTCGATAACACATGAAAGAAATCCATTTTTATATAAAAACTTTTTTTTTGAATGGTGGCAACCTATCCAAATTTTTTTCCGAATTAGTTTTTTTTTATGCGTTCTCAGTGAAATAGCATTATTGCGATTTATTTATTATTCACTTTTTATTCTGATATTGCAGATATCTGGCAACACCATTTTGCCAATTTTCTCTTTACAAACCTTCTACAGATAGAAAGACACAAAACGAGATAAAAACGAAGCAAATCCGTTGAGCCGTTCTTGAGTGATGCGATAACACACGAACAGCAATTCATTTTTATGTATAAAGATTAGGGCTGGGAACTTCATCCGGATTTTTCTACTATCCGGATAAACCGAATATTCGAATATCCGGATACCTAAATGAAAAATCCGGTTACTCTGGAAGCTAAGATAATATTCGGCTATCCGAATATCCGGATTTTTCGTTATCAAAACGATACTTTCATTTCCCAATACCTGGCGCTCATAAATTTGTAGTAACAAGTTTTCTATTTCTACGCACAAAATTGTTTGTATAAATTTTAAAATTTCCTAAATTCTACTTTATAATTTCAAAGGCTTCTACAAACGAATTAAAAAGTTCAACAAACAAATATATGCGTATAGAAAACTTGCTACTTCATATGCATGAGCGCTTGGTATTGGCAAATTAAAGTATCGTTTCGTAAAAATGAAAAATAAAATAAAATTGACCGCGAGAGGTTTTTCATGGCTTTAAAATATCATGGATGGAATAATGAAAGCTGTTACGATACTCTTGGTCGTGGTGAATGCTTTACCAAATTGTAGCATTTCTAAAATTGATGACAAGAATAGTGCCATTTGTTTATATTGTGACAAAACGATACAAAACAAAAGGTCAACTTCAAGTCCGTCAAGAGCTTATTCACTCTATCGTGTGCATAATTGAATTCACGAATATTATTAATCTTTTGTTGATTTTTTTGGATATCTGAAAATACGAATATTAACCGGATCTTCGTAAATCCGGATATCCGAATACTAGCAAAAGCGAATATTAACCGGATATCCATACTATCCGGATTTTATTCGTGTCAACGGACAATCCGCATGGATATCCGGATATGCGAATGTGCGGATAGTCCCAGCCCTAATAAAGATATCTTTCAACTTTGTAACGGACTTTCCTGAGTGCTGGGCGTAGCTCTCGGTCGTCCAGGGTCCTGTAAGGAGTAAACACCCTATCTCCTCAAGAAATTAGAACACACTCGCTTCAAGTTTACAGCCTCTTTATTCGCTATACTCTCGCTATATCTACTCTCTAAAGTATAGAACTAGAGTAGGTTTAAACCCTACAGCTAGCACCAGTCTCAGTGGTTAAAGCCCACTTCGAATATACAATAATAGACTCGGAGGTTGATCCCTCTTCCACTACCCGTGTGACCCACGTTGCGACGCGTGCCACGTATGCCTAGCTAATGAACAATGCTTGTTAGCACTGCTCCTTTTATACCATTTTTGTCCATCCGCAGACAGTTATCCTCATTACAATTGTTTGTGCTTTTACATTTTATGTAGGTATTGTATGTTGTACGTATTTCTTATACTGTGCATACAAAGTAATAATTCAAAATATATTAGTGGATACATACATACGTACTAGTATAATCCAAATAGATGCAATTCAATAAGCTTATGTACATACATACGCATATATATAATAATTCAAAACATAAGTGTACATATATATATATTTGTACATGTGTGTATACAATTTCAAATCAACAATTCAGGGTAAATAGTACAAAGGATATATATGTATGTGTATATAAAAGTTGTTGTGGGGCCCAGGGCCACAGGATCCGGGGTCCTCACACTCCCTCCTTACTCCCGGCAGCAAGACTTACGGTCACCTTGCCAGTTTTGGTGATTCGCACTCTGTACGCCTGTCCGTTCACGATGCGTCTGAATGACTGCCGCTTCAGTTGCTGGTGGTTTACGTGCGACTCAATTTCCGTCACCAACTCTTCCGGCAACGCACCTACGTCCGGATGGACCTGCCACTCCGATGGCACTCTCGGCTCAGCCTCTTCTAGCCAACGCTCTATTTCCGCCACTAAGTCGGCATCTGCTGCCACACTAAAATCCGCTTCCGCCGACGCCTCCTCCACAAAATCCCTTCGTCCACCGCTCGCCAACGTACACGCCTCGATCGCGCCCTCACTAAGGCACAGCTGTTGCGGCGGTGGATGTGGCTCTTCCGATGCCATCGGGTCGTACGCTTACGTGCGATAATTCGTGCTCCATCTCCTCCTCTTCGCTCGTCAAATGTGGCGTATTGTTTGCCAAGTACTCTGCACCCCAATAGGCAGCCATCTCTGCATCTTCACTATTTTGGGGCAGTACGAACGGCTGCGTACTTTCGAGGCTTTCGATGTCCTCGACGCCGATTTCTTGCTGTTGCCTGCCACTGTTGCTACCGCCCTCGCTGGGGCTACTTGGCCGGCCAGCGTCGTCATGCTCGCCTCCGGTGCTGTTGTTGTCGCTCGAATTACTCGACCGGTCTCCACCGCTGCTGTCACTTCTACTGTAGCGTCGAATTTCGTGCTCTGTTAGGCGCTTTATACGTACGCGCAAAACGCCGCCCTCCACTTGCTCGGCTACAAAATTTGCCTGTTGCTGCTGCTGTTGCTCCATATTTTCGCGAACTTGTGTCTTGGCGCCCGCGGCACATCCTTTTTATTGCCGACAGTGGCCATTGCGCGACCAACTGTATTTTCCTAGTTTTCCGGCACATTTCCAGCAAAATTTCGGTAATTTTGCTGCCATTTCACTTCCACATTGCATATTTTGTTTTTATTTGTTTATTTGTCATCTGTGCGAGGAGCTGTAGTATGGTGTCGGGGTTGCTGACTATCCAAAAGGGAGTTTTGTAGCGTTGATGTGAACTGGAGTAGATTTCGGGTTGCCATTGCGGTATTACTCCTCTTCTTATTACGATTATTATTATTAGTAGAATTAGTATTATTTGGTTATTATAAATGTTTTTAGCTATTATTAATCTTTATAATTATAATAATTATTAATATTTATAATTATATTACTATTGCTGTTGTTATTATTAATTTTAATATTATAATGATAATTATTATTTTTTTTTATAATTTTCTTTTGTGCTTCGTGCCATCTGCATCTTTCATTGTTTTCCCTTGGAACCTTTATTTTTTCTTCTTCTTCTTCTTCTTCTTCTTATTCTTCTTCTTATTATTATTATTCTTCTTCTTTATCTGATTTAGGATTCTTCGGCTAGCTTCTCATCTTTCAGGGCCTCCGCTGTCATGGCGGTTGCTCCCCTGCTGGCAATCGCCGAGTGTGTGACTTCAGTCTCTGCTGAAATTTACCTATTCGCCGCTGTGCGCCGAATTAGGCTCAGACGATGCCACGGGGGAATTTTCACCTGAGGCGTTGCTCTCATAAAATGGTTTGAGATCACTCACGTGCGCTGTTCTTCTTTTCCCTTTGTGCACCTTGTCGAGTTCGACGATCACAGGCGAAATAAAATTTAGTACGCGATGTGGTCCGCCGTATTTCGGTGCAAGCTTAGCCGCGAAATTGTCCACGGCTTTAGACAAGAAGTGTTCTTTCACCAAAACCCTGTCTCCCACGACCGGTTGCCACGATCTTCTTCGCAGATTGTAGTGTCTCGCTTGCTCTGTCGTTGCCTTTTGTTGGTTTCGTCGCACTAACTCAAACACCTCTTTCATTCTCACCGCTTTTACTTGCGGTGTTGTGGCATCTTCCGCCGGTTCCTAACGTATTCTCATCATACAATGAGTTCGGTAACCTTGGTTCTTGAGGGCCAAAGTCATTTCTGGCAACAGATCATCCCAGCTCTTCTGGTCTTTGCCTGCGAACACCGCCAGTAGTCGCTTCATGTTACGGTTAGCTCTTTCCGTCGGATTTTGCTGCGGTGTGTACGGAGCAGTGAATTGGTGCCTTATTCCAATCTCCTCCAGGAATTGCTTAAATTTCGAGCTGGTAAACTGCGTTCCATTATCCGTGATCAAGATTTTTGGAATGCCGAATTTGCCGATAATCCGCTCTCTCACTGCTCGAATTACTCCCTCCGCTGTTGCCTTCCGCATTGGTACAATCTCGACCCATCTTGAGAAACGATCTAGTATTACCAGCGCCATAGTGTTTCCATGCTTGGATCGCGGAAGAGGTCCTACGAAATCAGCACACACCGTCGCCCAGGGTTCTTCCGCTAGCTGCGTCAGCATCTTTCCGGCTGGTTGCTGCTGGCTTGGTTTGTAAAGCTGGCAGGTCTGACAAGGTCGCACATACTTCCTCACGTCGCGGAACATGCCCGGCCAATAATATCG